CGGAGATTTACCAGGATGTTGCCTGGATTGGAGGGAAGGTCTTACGAGGAAAGGTTGAGAGAGCTAGGGCTTTTCTCTTTAGAACGACGAAGGATGAGAGGTGACTTGATAGAGGTGTACAAAATGATCAGAGGTATAGATAGAGTGGACAGCCAGAAACTTTTTCCTCGGGTGGAGGTAGCTATTATGAGGGGCATAGTTTTAAAGTGAGTGGCGGTAGATATAGGGAAGACATCAGAGGTAGGTTCTTGACTCAGAGAGTGGTAGGGGCGTGGAACGCATTGCCGGAGAGGGTAGTGGAGTCGGCCTCGTTAGGGGCATTTAAGCAGCTATTAGATAGGCATATGGATGATAGTATAAGGTAGGGGTGGAGGTTAGATAGACCTTAGGTTTAGGTTAAAAGTTCGGCATAACATCGTGGGCCGAAGGGCCTGTACTGTGCTGTACTGTTCTTTGTTCTACGTAGCTGAAGTAGTTTATTTAGATACTGTCATAATATACACTACTGCAGGGGGAGAACATGTAAGGCAATTTAGAATACCTATTTAATCAATTGTGGTTAGCTGTCTTAGTGATAAATCTGGTTGAAAGTAAATTTGCAAAAGCAAGAGTAACTTAACTGGAACATGTCATAGGACATGGATAAGTGTTACCGAGAACAGCCTAAATGAAGGCTCTGGTGAAATTACCTGTTCCTAACATTTAATTCAAAGTTATGTGATTTTTTTTTGGTATGTGTGAATTTTGCAGCAGATTTGTGCAGAATGCAAGGCAAACTTTGAGAATCTGATGTCTATTCTAATAAATGAACCAGTGATGACTGTCCCTGTCTTTACCAAAACTTTAATAATTGCAATTGATGCTAATGACTTGAGGCTCGGTGCAGACTTATTATAAGGTCATGAGTCAGGAGTAGAGAAATGGGGTCAATATTAAAGAATGGATGGCTCTTAAACACTTTGTAGTCTATGCCTTGTGTGTTGGTTACAATGAAACATTAATCTATATTGACTACAATTTGCTAGCATTCAATGGAAAGTTTAAAACTCTAAATGCAAGACTGTTCAGATGGAATCTATTGCAAAAATTGTTCATATTGCTGGTAAAACTCATGTGATCACAGATGCCTTGTCCCAAATGTAAAATGAAATAAATTAAGAAATTATAAAAAAATGATGTATGATTTATGTTGGAGGGATTGAGGATGAATGGATATAAATCTTGTGTTTCGTTGTCTCTGTTTTGCATATCTTATGATGAAATGTATTTTTTGAAATGGTGTTCCATCTTTTCCAAGGGTAGCAGCATGTTAACACTGTAGTGATTGTAACAAGGTCAGCCAGGTGAACCTCATAGAATATGAGTTCCCTGATTGAGGCTGTTAATCTGGTTCAACCGTGGAGTCCTTTCTTACAGATAAGAATAGGAATGTCAGACATCCTTTTCACTCTGACAGCTGACTCTGAGGAGGATGGATCAGTACCATGGACTTTCTTCATGGAAATATTGGGTGACTTGATGATGGGATTTTGGCCTGTGTAGAGTTATTTCAGTGGCAATGAGAGAAAAGCATGCTTCTGAAGTCTTTAAGTTGGGGTAAACATTTCTGGCATCATGCCGTTATTTGGGAAGTTTGACTCGTTTGATCCTGCCAATGAAGACTGGGCCCAGTATGTAGAAAGAATGTGTAATTTTTTCTGGTAAATGACATTGTTGAAAAGCAATGAGCAATTCTCCTGATAGCTTGTGAACCCTCAGCTTTTTTGGTTATTAGGAGTCTAACTTTCCCTGAGGCACTAGATACTCAAACCTTTCAAGAGTTGAAGAACTTAGTTAAGGAATAATACACAACCAAGCCTCCTCTAATTCTGAGATGCTATCGGTTTTACTCGGGAACCAGAGGCATCTGTATTGGAATTTTTGACTAGGTTAAGACGACTGGCAGAGGCAAGTGACTTTGGTTTAACCGTGAATGAGATGCTGAGAGATCATGTGGTATGTGGGATTAATGATGTAACCAGGCAAAAGCACCTATTAGCTGAAGCCCAACTGGACTTCAAATAGGCACTACAGCTTTATCATTGAAAAATGTGGCAAGTGGAGCATTTGAGTTGCAGGGTATTCTGATGGACGTGGACACCCTCCCCAGTCTGATTGAGCTTGGGAATACCACTTGAGTGAAGACAATTGTATAGCCTCACTCAGGACATACCCTGAACAGAGGGACTCTAGGTCAGGTCAGAGCAAAACCCCAAAATAAAGGCAAGCCTTGGCCAAATGGTCAACATTTTCTTTAGGATCCGGGCTGGCAAGCCATTGCAGTTGCTACTGGTATGTGGACTTTGGACAGCAAAAGAGTCCAACTCAACCTAAATTGAGTAAGGGTACTCATAGGCCGCTATCCAGGAGAGTGCACACCATGGAAAAGTCCACCGATATCTGGTTTAGAACAGTTAAATTGCTTAGCAACCTCCAGAATCAGAACCAATCAAAATAAACATCTGGTTAAGTTGTCACCCAATTCTAATGAAGGTTGATACCGGTGTGGTTGTTTCAGTGATTGCAGAACCAGTCTTTAACAAAATTCGCTCTGGTCTCCAACCTTTAAGTATGTGCAAGACCTCAGCCAGACTGAGAACCTTTACTGGGGTACCTTCATAAATTATGGGGACAACTTCAGTTCTGGTCTTTTATGAGAAGCAGCTGGTTCAGTTACCACTGATTATAGTAAAAAGCTCAGGCCCAAGCTTGATGGGGCAAAATTGGTTGTGAAAGGTTCACCTATATTGGCATGCAATGTTGCATTTTCCTGGAACAGTGAGAGCAGAAGCAGACACCAGAGAACTGATAGGTTCTGAATGAAGGGAAAACTGTTTGGCAACAACATTCTGATTGGCTCCTGAGCAGTTGACCATAACTTGCGTGGGGCCAATACAGCAGTGAATCACAAACTGCAAAAGGAAAATGTCAAAAAAATCATTATTTTTGTGTGTCCCTCTCCCTCGTATGGAGATACTAGAAAGCCTCCAGTAATAGCTAACTGTTTTCCATTCACCTTTCTCTGCAAATGTCCATGGAATATTGCGTACAGTTCTGGTCTTCACATTACCAGAAGGATGTGGATGCTTTGGAGAGGGCACAGAAAATGTTTACCAGGATGTTGCCTGATATGGGGGATTTCAGCTATAAAGAAAAGTTGCTGGATTTGTTTTCACTGGAAGATAGGAAGTTGAGGGGTGAACTAACAGAAATTTACAAGATTGTGAATGGCATGGATAGAGTGGAAAGTATGAGGCTTTTTCCCAGGGTGGAGGGGTCAATTACTAGGGAACACAGGTTCAAGGTGCGAGGGGGCAAGTTTAAAAGAAATGTGTTGAGGCAACTTTTTCACATGAAGGGTGGTGAGTGCCTGGAATGCATTGCCAGAGGAGGTGGTGGAAGTAGACACAATAGCAGCATTCAAGAAGCACCTGGACAAATACATGAATATGAAGGGAATAGAGCGATACAGATCCTGCGAGTAAAGACAGTTTTAGTATAGAAGGGCAAAATATGTCGGTGCAGGCTTGGAGGGCCGAAGGGCCTGTTCCTGTGCTGAATTGTTCTTTGTTCTGTTGAAGGGTGCATAAAATGCCTTCAAAGGCATTGAAATACTGAATTCTCCACTAGTGAATGAAAGAGCATCGGTGTGCAAACAACATTTCCACCTTTAAAATGCATGTCTTGTCTGCCTAGTCTACCCTATCTAGTATTGTGCCTGCCTCTGTCTTTCTGTTTTTTGAAAGGGTTGATTTCAGAAAAAAAGAGTTAAGTTGTAGCATTATCAGTTAACAATTCATTTTTCCTAATTGCCAATTGTTAAAGACAATTTATTCATGATAAAAATATTTTTTAGTTAAGTACATGGTATATTTTTCAAGTCGTGTCATTGAGGGAAATTAGTTAGTTTGATGAAATTGGTTGACATTTGTAATGAATCTTTAAAAATGCGGCTTGATTTCCAGTGCGCTACCCCACTGATTAATGACATTAAAACTGGCGGATCAACATGGTTAACTCAGTTGGTTGGATGACTGGTTTGCGATGCAGAGTGATGCCAACAGTGCAGGCTCAATTCTTGCACTGGCTAAGCTCACTCTGAATGCCCTGCCGACTCAACCTTTCCCTTCGCTTGAGGTGTGATGGCTGTCAGGTTAAACTCACCATTAGTTGTCTCCCTGTAATGAGACAGCAGCTGTATGATCCTCTGGGATGTTGGTGACTTTACTTACCTTGTCTAGAATATCTTCCAACAGTGAGGCTGTAACAACTAACCTTTCATCATACAGCAGTGTGTCATCTGAATGTGAATGTTGTCAGTGCTCAAAATATATTTCTGACCAACTCACTGGGCCTTTCGTCTGGCTTCCTTCAACAAAATACTGACAAATTGTGATACATAGAATGGACTGAATCTTAGCATTTTGTTGGCTATGTCCAAGCTGCCCTGAGTTTTATAAAGGATTTTTTTCCATTGGGCCTAGCAAGTTCTGTTGCCATATCTGACCAAAGTCACCTCATTAACTAACTACCCCATCCCTATGGCATCCCTTATATGTGATTCCAGCCACAACTTGCCACATGCTGTTCCCAGAGCACCTTGCCACTCAGCAGATATCCACTGCAAGGCCAGCATCCCATGCACCTGCACCATCTTTGAAAGGTTACTTTGCACATGGTCAAGCATTGGTAATCTGACCGTGCCTTTGTCATGGCACTGCAGCCAATACCACATAGTTAGCACGTCTGATGCTCTTTTGCACAAGCAACCTGATTCGCTCACCATAATTGCAGGTTAAGCACCAGGCCACACATTGCCTGTCCATAACTACATCCCATCTGAACACCTCTAACGTCAATGATACCCTGTCCTCAATGCTTAGACCTACAGTTTGTGACTGTCCTGCAGGGGAACATCACATATATGCAAGCAATTGGACAAATTTGTACTTGAGCTTTTAATTACAGTGAGCAAAAAGGAACACAGATAAAATCAATAAAGACTGAAGTTCACCCTCTCACTAAACCAGGTTTCCATATCATGAGCAATTTTATGTCCATGATTGCCTGTTTCACCCCGCTGTCATCTCTTAAACGTGGTGCCAGTAAGGTTTGATCTGGCTTATAGTGCCCAGTGCAGTTGAACTCTACCATGGCCAACATCAGCTTTCTTCATTCTAACGTCTTTGTCTTCCTTCTTGGAATACTGCTCCTGTTGTCCCAGTTTCTCAGCATCAGCATATCACATTGTTGCTTGGTCCAATTGTACAAAACCCAGCACACCAGAACAAAGTAGCATATGCTGTCTAGACCACACTGGAAGGTCCCCTCGGTACGGTTGAAACAGTAGACCTACATTTTCAATAGCCCTATACTGTACTTGACCATGGACGTGGTTGAAGGATGGGCATGTCAAATCTGTGCTCTGCATCAGTCAGGGCATTGCACAGTGGTTTCATGAGCCATGGTCACATGCAGGCAGAGGCCTCTCCTTATTCTGGGTGCTCCTCGTCCTCTGCAGGCTTGCTGCTGCACCTGGGTTTACTGTCTACCCTGGTCCTTCTGCATCCACCTTTGCCTTCTTAGGTGGGTAGCTACAGTGACCAACCAGGGGCTGGGCATAGGGCTATCAATTGAACTGACCTAAAATGGGAACAGAAGGAGTGAAAGAGGCTTTTAGATCTCACAGCATTCATCAGTGGCATACTCTGCAAATGAGAGCTGAGCACACGTCTTCATATGGTAAGACATGCTGCATCTCTGATAGAGGGATACATTTCCATCATCATCACATGTTCACAGCCATAGCTCAATTTGTAAGGACCAATGACACGTTTCAATTTGCCTTGCTGATCCCTAAGAACTTTTACACTGCCTGCATATCAAATGGGTGATGAAATGATTGCAATTTAAATGTAGGTAGTGTTTCCAAACAGCTGATTCACATACTTGTTACTACAATGTCTTCATGTCCAGAAAACCATCACTGACTCCCTCATCCTGGCTATTTTCTCGCAGCATTTTGCATCTAGAGAACAGGAAGTGATAATAGGGATACAGCTTGCAGTGCACTGTCTGTACCTAGCTTCACCTGATTACCAGGGTACATCCCAAAACCTCCATGCTTCCTTCTTCCTCGCATTACCCTGATAGCCCATTTCCATCCATCCTGCTGAAGAGGAGACACACCCCATTGAAGGTTGCCTTCAGCTGTTCTCCCTCACCCCTGTGCCCAGTGGTTGCACCATAATAATGCACATCCCACTCCTTTATGCCGCCCCTGTGGAGTCATTGTGATGGTCACTGCTACCAACATGCCCTTCTTTTGTATATTACCATGCTCTCTGATGCTATTCTGCATTACCTCGCCACACCTTAAGGTTGACCCCATCACCGTCCTTGTTCCCGCTTCTAAAAATGCCTTTGATTTACTGTCCAGCCTCAACTTCCCCACCTCTTCTTGCAGAGGAGATATTGCTTCTGCAGGACCCCCTGCACACTTCTGAAAGATTAACGATGGATGCCTGGGTCTGTACTCACCCAGACCTCTGACCAACAGCCCCTAGACATGACATACAAACTCCTGACTGCTATGTTTGCAACTCTGCAGCTGATGGTATATAATTCCCCAGATTGCAGTCCACTCCCTGGACAGTAGTCTGACTGATCCCCTGATCATGAGCATCCAAGTACATGACAGATTGTAGCCAAGCCTCTGCCTGGGGTGTGTGTAAATAGGCCCATCACTGACATTACTGGGATCCCCTGACTGACAGAAGCACCCTGTTGGCTGGACCAAGAGCTAGCTCCGACCAGTTTTCCCCTCACCCATGAGGGATTTCAACTTTATTCACAGAGCGTCTGATGTTTGTTGGTTTAAACCTTGGCTCAAAACTGCTGCTACAGATTATTAACATTCAATGAAACCTGTAACTGTCTTGGTGTGACTAGTGCTCCAACACCATGGAGTTCCTAGCTCACTTCTGCTGCACATCTCTTGTCAGGTTTAAAATTTTTTTTACTGTTGACTATAGATTCTGCCTTGTTCAAACTTGTTCCAAAGATCTTGAATGTTCAGTTCTTCTACACTGCCTGCATGAGGAATCTTCTTAAAGGTGTTTCTCAAAAATCATCAGACCTGCGCCACCGCCAGCACCTATGAAGCAGCTAAATAAAGTACATTGTGCTTGCCACTATGTTATGAGATAAATCCTCAGCATTGCTCATCATGGTGTATGAACTATCTGGTAAATTTGCTGCGACTATCCTTTTTCCTGGTAGCTTTCTAACAGGACCTGCTTGATCTGGTTAGTAGGAGAAAACTGTTTGGGTCTGATGAGAACAGACACTTGTACAAGATATAGGGTATTTCATGGTAGCTATTATGCATGAGTTACGTTAATATGATGGACATCGTTATAGAGATTATGAGAAAGACCCAAAAGGTAGGTCTTACTCCTTCAAAATCCAAAGCTTTTCTTCGTCCAAGTCTGTCTACATCATTAATGTGTTTAAGTGTTTAAGGCACTCTTCAGTATTAACCTTATCAGATTCTTACACTCTTATGCAACAGAAAGCAGATGCCATTCTTTTACTTAATGTTGGATTTGTTTATAACAACAAAACATTATAAATGTATGCCTCTTACCTCCCCAATACCAAGTGCTCTAGATGTCTTCCTTTTTATGTGTTCAAGGTACTTAATTAATGCCTAAATTGAAACCAAGAACTGTGGACGTTGGAGATCTGAAACAAAAACAGAAATTGCAGGTGAAACTCAATAGGTCTGGTAGCATCTATGGGGAGAAAGCAGAGTTAGTGTTTTGAGTCATGTGACTTTTCATCAGAACTGATAATGCTGACAAAGGAGGGGAGGGGAATATGTGTCGGGTGCTGCATCTGCTGGAGTTGATAAAAAATGGCGGTTTATAATCATCTGAATGCAGAGGCAGATGGGTTGGTAAGTGAGAACCAGGGGAATCCTATCTTTATTGTCGGATGGAAAATAAGGGGTGAAGGCAGAAGTGCGGGAGATGTGCTGCACACGGCTAAGGGTCCTGTCAATCACGGTAATGGGGAATCCTCGATAATTCTTAATTAATGCCCTTAAGTTACGTATCCTTACCTGAAAAATACAACTGATGTACGTTTAAAGTTCTGCTCACCAGATGAAAAGTCAGGAATGAACCCACCTCTGCTGAGCTGGGAAGCTATGACTATATCTTACTATCTTCAGGCAGTTAACAACAAGCAGTTAACTGCCTGAGGTTATGACCTCCACCCAATTATGGGAGGATGCCATCTCTAAGAAATGGCCAATCAGATAGCTAACAGCTCAGCAGACCAGCAGCTATAGGAGTCGTGGCCACTGCTAAGACTGAAGTGAGTCCCCAGTGAGGAGACATGGAGAAAGCCAGATAATAATGGAAGTATGTTTAAAGTATGTTTGGGTCAAAGGGCCTGTACTGTTCTATGTTCTTAGAGATTGATACATTACTGATTACTAATGGCACAAAAGATTATGAGGATGGAGTGTAAAATAACCCAAGTCACCAAGTCACCAAGTCACCAAGTCACCAAGTCACCAAGTC